AATCATAGTTTTTGATACTGTAACCATAATCTTTAGTACAAACTGAATTTATTCATAATACCACTCTCTGAGCGCGCACACACATACTCTCCTCTTATTTCTCACGTATTACATTAAACAGCCCATTTCGTATAAATATTCCGAACACAGATGAGCAGCCTTTATACTTCTCAACGTATACCTCGCAAGTTTCTATTTCAACCATGATTTGTTGCCACAAGATAGAGAGGACATTTCTTATGCACATTAATTCCCTGTGCATCGTCCATATCAATATCCTCTCTCCTCATTCCACCGGGCAATTCCCAGTCAAATACATACATCATGTTAGCAAGCGCAAGCTCGACGATGATCACTCCTGTGTTCATCGCAGGGCAAATTCTTCGTCCTGAACCGAAAGGGATAAACTCAAAATCACGGCCTTTGAAATCGATAGAGCTATCTATAAATCTTTCGGGTATGAACTCTTCTGCTCTATTCCATGTCTTAGGGTCTCTTCCAATTCCCCAAGCGTTAACGTATACAAGGGTATTTGGCAATATATCATAGCCTTTGATATTACAGTGCCTCATTGTTTCTCTTGGGAGAAGTAAAGGGACAGGAGCATGCAATCTGAGAGTCTCTTTTACTATTGCCTTGAGGTAATGAAACGCATGAAGGTCTTGTTAGTATTTGTTTGTAAAAAACAAGATAGTCTCACATCGGAATTTTGAGCATTCTTTTAGAGGTTTAAAAGCATTGAATGCTTATTGGGCTTTGAATAATGGATCAAAGTGTAGGCTTCTAAACCCGCGTGCGGGTAGCGCGAATAATGCGCGATTTTGACGCGATTATTAGACGCACTTATAGAAGCAATGTCATCTAGATGATGATAGGAATAATAATATTTTAAATAAACATCCTATAAGTTTTAATCCAGATGATGATCCTAAAATCTTTATAGAAGCAATGTCATCTAGAGATGCTTCATTTTGGAAAGAAGCTGTCAATGATGAAATGGATTCTATAATGGGAAATAGTACTTGGATTTTAGTAGATTTACCTCAAGGATCAAAGCCAATAGGATGTAAATGGGTTTTTAGAAGAAAATATCATTCTGATGGTTCTGTTCAAGCTTTTAAGGCTAGATTAGTAGCCAAAGGGTTTAGACAAAAAGAAGGCATAGATTATTTTGATACATATGCACCTGTCGCACGTATAACATCTATTAGAATTCTTATTGCTTTGGCATCTATACATAAGTTATTTGTGCATCAAATGGATGTCAAGACTGCTTTTTTAAATGGAGATTTAAATGAGGAGGTTTACATGGAACAACCGGAAGGTTTCATTCTTCCAGGAAATGAAAGAAAAGTATGTAAACTAATTAAATCTCTTTATGGTCTTAAACAAGCACCAAAACAATGGCATGAAAAGTTTGATTCTGTTATTCTATCTTATGGTTTCAAACATAATAGTGTTGATAAGTGTATTTATTCTAAATTCACTGATAAATATGGTGTGCTTGTCTGCTTGTATGTGGATGACATGTTAATATTCGGCACTAATATGATTGGTATAAATGAGACTAAAGAGTATCTATCTTCTATGTTTAAAATGAAAGATTTAGGAGAAGCGGATACTATTTTAGGGATTAAAGTTAGAAAACATAGTGGGGGTTTTTCTTTAAGCCAATCACATTATATTGAAAAAATAGTGAATAAATTTAATCATCTTGGTTTTAAAGAAGTTAACACTCCTTTTGATCCCAGTGTCAAATTGACTGCCAATTCTGGTAGAGCTGTAGCACAGCTTGAGTATGCTAGTGCAATTGGTTCTTTAATGTATGCCATGCATTGTACTAGACCTGATATTGCATTTGCTGTATGCAAATTAAGTAGATACACTAGTAATCCAAGTGTAGAACATTGGAAAAGCATTTCCAGGATTTTTGGATATTTAAAGAAAACCAAAAATCTGTGTTTGTTCTATAATGATTATCCGGCTGTATTAGAGGGATACACCGATGCAAGCTGGATGACTAGTGTTGGAGACAACCAATCCACTTCTGGAATGGTTTTTACACTTGGTGGAGGAGCAGTTTCTTGGGCAAGCAAGAAACAAACATGTATCTCACACTCCACCATGGAATCTGAATTCATTGCTTTAGCAGCAACTGGTAAAGAGGCTGAATGGATTAGGAACTTATTGCTAGATATTAAGTTATGGCCGAGTCCAATGCCTCCTATCTCTATCTATTGTGATAGTCAAGCCACTTTGTCAAGGGCTTATAATTGTACATATAATGGTAAGTCTAGACACATAAGTCTAAGACATGAATATGTGAGACACTTGATACAAGATAGTGTCATAACTATTGTCTATGTCAAGACAAATAAAAATTTGGCTGATCCATTTACAAAACCTCTAGCAAGAGAGGTAGTAAAGATGACATCAAGTGAAATGGGGCTGAAACCTTATATTTAAAATCACCAGGAATGGTAACCCAACCATTTACTAGAACTAAACTGGTTAAATGGTTTAAATGGGTAATAACAAGTTTCTGAAAGTGATTGATTGATATTGACGCATTAAGCCCTAAAAGATAATGTCAATATCGTCCATTACGGAATAAGAGGATGAGTTATGCTCTTAATGAAAGTCTAATACATTATTGTTGTGTGTTTAAAGTAATGGAAAACACATTGTAGACGTTTCACCTATATGAACTTAGAAGTGGTGCCGCTTCTTAAAAGAGCTAAAGGTTTGTTCTTTAAAGAGTTCATGAACCAGGAATAAGCACAAGGCCATAACAGTGCTAAAATATTAATTCTCATTGAAACAAGAGATTAGTGTATGTACAATATTCTCCGGTTCTATCACAAAGAGTAATTAGTTTAATGTTAAGGCAACTAACGACTTTGATAGAACTTTGAGGTATTTGTACTAAGTAAAGGTTTAAATCGAAAGATACCTCTACATATGTATACTTATCTCATTTTGTACATATTGCAGATTATTTTTAAATATAATACTATTAAAATGTTTTTTCAAACAAAGTGGGGGATTGTTAGTATTTGTTTGTAAAAAACAAGATAGTCCCACATTGGAATTTTGAACATTCTTTTAGAGGTTTAAAAGCATTGAATGCTTATTGGGCTTTGAATAATGGATCAAAGTGTAGGCTTCTAAACCCGCGTGCGAGTAGCGCGAATAATGCGCGATTTTGACGCGATTATTAGACGCACTTAGCACTTTGCACGCTTGCCGCTGCCGCTTAAATGTTTTATTTTATATATATATATATATATTGAATATTTTTTAATGTTATTTTTTAATTTTAAAAAATTATGAAAAGACAAGTGACTGTTGAAAAGTGGCTGTTTGCTTCAAAGGGTGTTTTGAAAAGTTGTGACTGTTGGAAGCACCTTTTCAAAACCTATAAATAGTTTATGTTTTCAGATATCTTTTTAACAATTCTTTTTCTGAATCTTTTCTATCAAAAAGTTCTGCAATATTACAAACTTGTTTCACAACGAATTAAGGAAAATTCCAGATTTGCTTACTGGAATTTTTATTTTCTGTTGTATCCTGGGAAGAAATTTTGCATTAACCCGAAGCAACTTTGAATATCAAGTGGAGGCAAATATTTCTTTAAGGAAAGTGTTTCACGCCTCAGAATTTCTGTCTCCTTCAATTTTAAATCTAACAGGTCTCCTTCTTTTACCTTTTCTTTTGATTGGAGGAAGACCCTTATTTCCTCTTGTGCTTTCTTCATTGCTCTTGGATTCTTTGCAAGCTCAGCCATGGCCCAAACTATGGTTGCAGATGCTGTTTCGCTTCCAGCGATGAAAATATCCTAAATAAAATCGTAGAAGTATAGAAGCTTAGGTGAACAGGTGGTAGATGAAAGCCCTTTGCAAAATTCGTGTGCTCTTACTCTAGCTGTTTTAATCTATGATAGAGATTGTCGAAAGGAGATGAACTACGTCTACTTTGACGAAAATTGACTCAAAACAATCATATCTGAGTCCCGAGTCTAAGCAAACTCAAACACATATATCAACCTAAATGGTTTTATTCATTGAATTCAAAGCTGATTTTACTAGATTTAATTGATCTGAAGATGAGAGTTGTCAATACCGTAAGAACCGCCTTGATATTTTCCTTTGTAATATGGCCTGCATCCTTTTGTACACGAAGCAAAACATCAACTATGTCTTCATATTCAGGTCTAATAGTTTCAGGATCAAGATGATCTTTTATTACTTCCTCATAAAACTCGTCAAGCTCTCCAGCGTTCTTTTCAAGCCGACATCTTTTTCCAGTCAATTTATCGATCCAACCCACCATCGGAAAAAAATCAGCAACGAAGAAGCCTCCCAACAGTGGCTCGGCTTGTTCAAGAATTCGATGGAAGTCACCCTTCTCATACTTCTTACCCAGAGCAATCCTGCAGATAATACTATTCGCCAGGCTGACCATAGCCTTCTGCAGATTGACAGGCTTCGACGAAGAAGACGAAATCGATTGAAGCGTCAGAGATACCTCTTCCTCTCTTATCTCACGAAAGGATTCTACCCTCTTGGCACTGAAAAGTTCAAGTATGCACAATTTTCTCATCTCTCTCCAGTATTCCCCATAGGGTGCCATGCTAATATCAGAGCAGTTATATGAGTACTTATCAGTACTAACGAGATGCGGTCGAGTGCAAAAGTCAAGATCATGAGTCTTTAATACTTCTCTGGCCACTTCAGCAGATGAAACTACTAGTGTTGGCCTGAGACCAAGCAGTAGATGCATCAAAGGTCCATGTTTTTGGGAGAGTAGCCAAAGTGAACGGTGAGGAATTGAACCGAGCTGATGGAGGTTGCCAATTATTGGAAGCTTCTTCGGGCCGGGAGGGAGTTTATGATTCTGCTTTCCTTTGTGAATTAGAAGAAGAAGAGAGGCAAGAGGGATGAGGAGTAGCCATAATGATACTGTAGAAATAGAGTAAAGGGAGAGAGGAGAAGGGATGTTCATCCTTGACTAATTAATTGCTATAGTTTCATTGCAAGTTTTTGATTACTTAAAGATTTTTGCGTACTCATTTAAATATTGGACGAACATCAAAAATTTTAATGTAACCCATAGTTTGGAGCTTTTGATAGTGAAAGTAAAGTAAAAATACTGTTGTGCGCAGCGGAAATTTCGGCAGCACTTCGGCAGCACAACAAGAGAGTCAGGTCGCAATAGGAATTCCTGCTTCACAAAGGAAACAATAACCTTAAGCAAAATATATCAACCAAGTGAGATATCAGCTCTTCCTCTCATCAGTTCTAGGAATGACCTGTCGAGGGAACCTAAAAGCTATTACAAATCACACAAATAGCGAGACAACTAATTTTACGTGGTTCGGCAAATAGCCTACGTCCACGGGGCAAGGAGGGAGAGATCTACTACTAGAGAAAGAGAATACAACTAGGGTTTACAATCACTCAATCTAAACCCTCAACCAAGCTCTCAGATCTCTCACACAAATACTCTATCAAAGGGATGCACAAAACCCTAAAACAGCTGCACACAACTAAAAAAAACTCTGCTTTTTCTTTTGCATGCGCCGCCAATTTTCCCTTATTCCCTTGCTGCGATTTTTTGCTGCAGCCGCAAAACAAAACCAGCCTTGCACGTAAACCTAGGCTAAAAATCACGTTGTTATTTATAGGAGGGAGGAGGAAATCGGGTGGGCTGCCTCACTGCGGAATTAATTCACGTGGTGGCCCCCACGCAACACCTCTTCACGCGGAAACAAAACTAGGGTACTTTGTTGGGAGCGTGGCCCCCACCCACATGACACTCCAACCATTCACAATTCTCCATCTCGGCGAAGTTTTCCCAAAACTGAGCCGACACCAAAACAACTAAATGTCCCACTTGTTATGTCCAGTACAACGTGAAGTTAATTCACGACAACAGACTCAATCCATAACAAGTCGGGAACCCGAACGAGAATCCAAACAATCTCTCCCCTATCAAAATCAACTAATCCAAAACCGGCTGCATCAAACATGACTGTCTATGTATCCTCTTGCCCAAGGAATCAAGTCGAACGTAGTTCACCAAAATGGCCGCCAATGGCCTCAACAATCACGAATATGTAACAAATTTTGACAATGATCAAACTTGTTGTTCGGAACCACCTTAGTAAGCATATCCGCCGGATTATCCTTCGTGTGGACTTTCACAATCTCCACATCGTCATCTTCAAAAACATCCCGAACGAAGTGATAACGAACGTTAATATGCTTCGTCCTCGCATGAAAAACATGATTCTTCGCCAAATAGATAGCACTCTGTAGGCAATAAAAATTGCCTTTAAATCCTTATCAGAGAAGTTCAGAACAAAACTGCTAAAACCTCACCCGAAATAGTAAAAAAGGGGAAAAAAACACTGATAAAAAGAGAAAAACGCAGATATCTCCCAAACCGTAAGGAATTTGGCGAAACGGAGGAAACGAACCGAAGCCTTTGGCTCGGTTCGGATGGCTCCATCTCGTCGAGATAGGCGATTTTCATATATAAATCGTCCAATTCCGACTTACGGTTTGAAAGTTACGGCCTATTCTTCAATCCATGCTCAGGAACTCGCCTGCAGCTCGAATTTCGCATGCACCTGCAAATCCGCTTGCAGACCCAAATCTGCCTGCAGTCCCAAATCCGCCTGCAGACCCAAGTCTGCCTGCTCGCTTGCAGCTCGAAGTTCGCCTGCACGATCAAGCTCGCCTGCAGACCCAAGTCTGCCTGCAGTCCCAAGCTCGCCTGCAGATTCAGCTCGCCTGCACACTCGAGCTCGCCTGCAGATTCAGCTCGCTTGCAGACCCAAGTCTGCCTGCAGTCCCAAGCTCGCCTGCAGACCCAAGCTGCAGACTCTCCAGCTTACTGTCAACTGCCCACTTGGAGTATGGGAACAGTTACATCAGTGGTCAAATCCCACAAATCAAGGGAGGGGGCATAATATTCCAGGCCCGTCAGATGGCCGTCCACAGTACGAATGAGCGGACAGGCGCCGAAACAGCCTGCACCCTTATAAATGTAGCTTACCTCACTTGTCCAAGCAGAAGGGAGGGCCGCCGGCGCTCAGTGAGTTGGCCATATCCACTCGAGTACCTGACAGCTGCTGTTACGCATACGAGGAGGAGCTTTCCCATTCCTAAGTGACGTGATGTAAAACATGGCTCCTCGAATGACCGCTCCTGTTGCAGGTGAACAGCAGGATGTCTCTGAACGACGTGTGGTCATATCCCATAATTCAAGGAGTAGTCAAGCTGTCTCCTTCACCTCTATCAGTGGTCAGATCCCACGAATCAAGGGATGGACCATGCCAGCTCTTGCCTATTAAAACCCATCTTCAGCCAGCATGAAGAGGGGGATTTTGGCTGTTGCATATTCTGCTAGCTAATCTCCCAAAGGTTGAACCTGGACTTTTGCCAAAGGCTCCCTCATTTGAGAACTGAAGCTCCGGCAGCAACTTCGATCGGACCGTCCAAGGGAAGCAGACTCGGCACGAGCACCGAGCGAGGCGTCCTATCGCCACCGAGGAACCCACGTTAAACAAGGAGGGCATTCCCTCCGCTTCTGTTGTAAACATTTGATTGTTAGTTTGTAATAAGCCTTCTTATCAATACAAACGAAACTCCCTTTTTCGGGAAATCAAATTTTTCACCCTACACACTCATGCTATCATAATGAATAGTGACAGACCTCTGCGATATACCAAGTTCCTCAAAAAGTCCTCGAAGCCAAATAGCCTCCTTTACAGTCTCTGTAACCGCCATATACTCTGCCACCGTCGTAGACAAAACTACCGTAGACTGTAAGGTGCATCTTCAACACACCGACGCACGGGTCAAAGTAAACACATACCCCGTCGTAGACCGACGCTTATGTAAATCTCCGGCATAATCCGAATCAACATAACCAATGCATACCTGCCCACCTGTAGTGTCCCACTCATAAACTAAACCAACATTGAGCGTACCTCGAATGTACCTCAAAATCCATCTCACGGCGTCCCAATGACCACTCCTGGATCGTGCATGTATCTCGAAACCATGCTCACTGCCTGTGATAAATCTGGTCTCGTACATATCATCGCGTACATCAAGCTCCGAACCGCGCTCGCATATAGAGTCTTCGACATTAACTCTCTATCTTCAACTGTCTTCGGTGAAAGGTCAGCTGAAAGTTTCAAATGGGCTCCCAATGGTACACTAACTGGCTTCGTATCCATGCTAACATGAAATCGCTGTAGAACCTTCTTCAAATAAGCCACCTGTGTCAGACAAATTCTACCTTTCTTCTTGTCTCTGCCGATATCCATCCCTAGAATGCGCTTCGCCTCGTCCAAGTCCTTCATCTCAGACTCATTTGAAAGTTGAACTTTCAACTCATCTATAGCCGACCTGGAAATAGAGGCAACCAACATGTCATCGACATAAAGTAACACTCATCTATAGCCGACCTGGAAATAGAGGCAACCAACATGTCATCGACATAAAGTAACAAATAGATGTACGCACCTCCTTATCGACATAAAGTAACAAATAGATGTACGCACCTCCTTTCAACTTACGAAAATATACGCAATGATCAAATCGCCTATACCACTGTCGAGGAGACTGCTTCAAACTGTATAGTGATTTCTTTAATCTGCAAACCAACTTATCTTTTCCTGCAGCTCGAAATCCCAATGGCTGAGTCATATATATTTTTTCATCAAGATCACCATGAAAAAATACAGTCTTCACATCCAACTGATCTAACTCCAAACCATACTGTACCATCAAAGCTAGCAAAATCTGAATCGAAGAATGCTTCACCACCGGAGAGAAAACCTCATTATAGTCAATACCTTCCTCCTGTGCATAGCCCTTCGCAACCAACCTAGTTTTGAACCTCAATGGAGTGCCCTTAATGCCCTCCTTCTTCGTGTATACCAACTTGCAACCAATTACCTTCCGTCTCTTTGGAAGCTCAACAAGCTCCCATGTATCGTTCTTATGAAGAGATTTCATCTCCTCCTACATAACCACCTACCACAAATCAGCCTCCGAACTCTGCTCGGCCTCTCTGAATGTAGTAGGCACCAACTCATCGATACTCTCCACCGGAAGTGCATACGCAACTATGTCGGCATACCGTGCTGGTATCTGTATGTTTCTCCTCTGTCTCTGAACCGCAATCGAATCCTGAACCTGAGCCGTCGGTCCCTGATCCTACATAATTGTACTCGTATCCTCCTCGTCGTCGTCGTGCTCGCCTAGCGTCACCTCAGTCGGCACTCTAATGGATATTGTACTATCTAAACAATGTGGATCTGCATCGATCTCCACCACCTGCGATATCTCCTCCGTCGGGTCGCTCTCCACCTGATGAGAGCTGGGAAGCTTCAAGATAGAAGCCTCATCAAACGTGACGTCCCTACTCAGCAAAATCTTCTTATCAACTGGATCCCAAAGCTTGTATCCCTTGACACCACGCTTGAATCCTATAAATATGGCATTCCTAGCTCGAGGTTCCAACTTATCAGTTCTCACATGATAAAATACAGGGTACCCGAATACCTTGAGCTGGTCATAATCTCATGCTGGCTCTCTCGACCACATCTCCATAGGGGTCTTCCCCTCAATCGCAGATGAAGGCAGCCTATTAATGAGGTGGCTCGCATATGTAAGTGTCTCAGCTCAAAAGATCTTCTCCAAACCACTCTGCGATAATAAGTATCGGATCTTCTCCAGTAAAGACAGATTCAACCTCTCTGCCACCCTATTTTGCTACGGTGTATGACTAACCGTGAAGTGTCTCTCTATGCCCTTGTCTCGATATAGCTGTAGAAAGGGGTCTGAAGTATATTCACCACCGTTGTCAGATCGCAACGTCTTGATCTTTCTCTCAGTCTGCAGTTCAAATCTCTTCTTCCACTCCACGAATATATCTAGGATTTTACTCTTCTTTGTCATGGTGTATACCCAACATCGCCTAGAATAGTCATCAACGAACGTGACGAGCCAATGTTGACCACCAAGTGATGCAGTCTTGGTGGGACCCCAAACATCTGTGTACACGTAGTCCAGGATGCCCCTCGTCCTATGAATAGCAGTCCTGAACTTCACCTTCATTTTCTTGCTAAGAACACAGTACTCATAGAATTTCACTTTACCACTCTTGACTCCCTTCAATAGTTCATACTTGCACAGCGCCTGCAGTGACTTCTCTCCTGTGTGCCCTAACCTGTAATGCCAAAGCCTACTCATGTCCGCCTCTGAAATAGCCGAAGCAACCTGGCCAATCTCGGTGCTCCCCTTCAGATAGTACAAGTTCCGATTACGGACTCCCTTCATCACCACCAAAGATCCCTTAGTAACCTTCGCTACAGCATTTTCAAATATCACCTTGAATCCCTTCGCCTCCAAAGCTCCAACTGAGATAAGATTCTTCTTCAGCTGAGGAATGAATCTCACCTCCTTTAATTCACGGACTACTCCATCATGCATCCGGATCCGCACAGTATCTATCCCACAAATACCACAGGATTGATTATTTTCCATGACAACAACGCCCCCATCGAGTCTCTCGAACTATGCAAACCAATCTCGCCTAGGGGTCACATGATAAGTAGCGTCGGAATCAAGCATCCAATCTGATGCATCCAAGTGGTTCACCTTCGGAGTAATCAATAGAGAAAAGCTCGAATCATCGGAATCATCGCCTTTTACAACATTCACCTCATTGGCCTTCGGGCCCTTTTTCTTGCTATTCTCCTTCTCTTTGATCTTTGGACAATCTCTCTTCCATTGTCCCTGCTCCTTGCAGAATGCGCATTGGTTCTTTGTTAATTGGTGACGGCCTCTAGACTTTGACCTTCCTCTATTATCACCTTTCGGATATGGGCTTCTACCTCTCGTCGACAAGGCCTCTCCTGAAGTGCTAGCACAGGAAGTCTCCTTGTCCTTCCTCCTCAAATCGTAATTGGTCAATGCGTTAGTCATTTCACTATAGTTGATAGAAGATATCTCATTCAACAAAGTGAGCACGAATGTATCATACTCCTTATCCGGTAAGGAGCCCAATAAGATAATAGCCTTGTACTTATCCGATATCTTCTCATCAACATTCGCCAAGTCTGACAACAACTTAGTGTAGTTGTTCATATGAGCCGCTAGCGAGGTAGCTCTGGACATCTGAAATCTGAAGAGTTTTTGCAGCAAGTGCAACCTGTTCTCAACACTCTTCGTGAGATACTTGTTGTTGAGGATTTCCCACATCTTCATTGCGGACGTCACTCCAATCACACCATATTTCAGTTCATGTTCCAAACAAAACCTGATCACCCCACAAATGTTCATATTTATCTTCTCTCATACCGCCTCTTCATATTTAGGTGGCCTCTCGTGGACCATGATGGTCTCTTCCAAATTCTGAGCATTAAGCGCATCCTGTACGTCGCTCATCCACAAACAAAAGTTGATTTTGCCGTCATACTTCACCATACTAATCTTAGTGTTCTGAAACCCAACTTGTATTGTACTCGCCATCGACTTGCTGCTTTTACATTCTTCTCCCATTGCAAACTAACTCCAAATTATAGAGAAAGAACAGATTTGATAGAAATTAGGAACCACCCAACTGAACCCTAGATCGGATTCCAAATAGATCTCCTATCCACACGAGAAAAGCGAAATCTCCAACGACAACTCCTAATGCTATCTCCACCGAAGCCTAGAACTCCAAGAACTAAGCTTCACACAAGAATCTTCCTCTACCAAACTCCAAAACCCTAGATCTGAAACCTGGCTCTGATACCACTTGTTGCGCGCATCGAAAATTTCGACAGCACTTTGGCAGCACAACAAGAGAGTCAGGTCGCAATAGGAATTCCTGCTTCATAAAGGAAACGGTAACCTTAAGCAAAATATCTCAACCAAGTGAGATATCAGCTCTTCCTCTCATCAGTTCTAGGACTGACCTGTCGAGGGAACCTAAAAGCTATTACAAATCACACAAATAGCGAGACAACCAATTTTACGTGGTTCAGCAAATAGCCTACGTCCACGGGGCAAGGAGAGAGAGATCTACTACTAGAGGGAGAGAATACAACTAGGGTTTACAATCACTCAATCTAAACCCTCAACCAAGCTCTCAGATCTCTCACACAAATACTCTCTCAAAGGGATGCACAAAACCCTAGAACAGCTGCACACAACTAAAAAAAACTCTGCTTTTTCTTTTGCACGCGCCGCCAATTTTCCCTTATTCCCTTGCTGCGATTTTCTACCGCAGACGCAAAACAAAACCAGCCTTGCACGCAAACCTAGGCTAAAAATCACGTTGTTATTTATAGGAGGGAGGAGGAAATCGGGTGGGCTGTCTCACTGCGGAATTAATTCACGTGGTGGCCCCCACGCAACACCTCTTCACGCGGAAACAAAACTAGGGTACTTTGTTGGGAGCGTGGCCCCCACCCACATGACACTCCAACCATTCACAAATATTTGTTGGTGACTGAGTTTTGGTGTCATTGGAGCCAAAACTGGTTTTTATATCATTTTGATACACACCCAAATTGAATGTCATTCAGTGATTACCTGCTCTAGTGGAAAATTTGAACACAAAGAGTTAAATTAAGTAATATACATCTTCAAGCATCAGTGGAAAAAAAACATCTCCTGATTAAACACTCAACCATCAGTAAATAACAAAATTTCGGTCAGGCTCTCAAACATCGGTTTCAGTTGTTACGTATCGCAGTGTCTTTTGCCTATCCGTCGATAACATTGTTTTCATCACAGTACATTACAAACAAAACCTTGTTTTTGTCCGCCGAAATTATTGAAGGAGAAAAATGAATGGACCCTACCCACCACTCTAATTATGCACCGAGGGTGAAAAACAACGAAAGATTGGCATAGTAAAAATATTATAAACTTAGGAATAATATTTTCACAGCCGCTATAAATAAGCTCAAAACTCTTCAGGAAAAATCAATCCCAGAAACAACTCCACATATAGAAGAGTAAAAGAAAAAAATAGAGAGAGTTACTCCTTACAAAAGAGAGATTGTAGATTGTAACTCTAAAGTTTTTCCTCATAGTGGATTCTTCTATCCAAATTCATTTAGGGAGTTTTCCACGTAAATCTGTATGTTCTTTTTATTACTTTTATTCTACTATTCGCTTAGACCCTATTCTATTGGGCCCCCCAGGTTTGCCCCAACATTTTTATCTCGAGCATCATATCAACATCAATCTTTCATAAATTTCATTCACGTTACTGGCAATAACATGATAAAAGATAACACAATTTAGAAAAAATATAACATGAAAAATCTTGGATCCGTACAAGTAAGGGATGACAAAAAACAACAACAACAATGACTCAATAAAAGCTTAAGCTATCAGTAACGACCTCTACTACGAATATGATAAGCTCTGGAGGCCATAGCTCTCAAATTAGCTCTAGCCGAGTGCAGACTTGATCGTGGCTGCTCAATCGCATCGATAGAGGTCCCCAAGAATTCTTCTCTCTGCAATCTTAGAGCCAATGCAGCATCTTGAGACTGACCAGGGCTAGCCCTCCGCCTACTGGAACTCCTCTCTCTTTCCGTTGAATGTGAAACTTGGGTTGCAGTTCCGAAACTCGTGCTTCTTTGCGTGTTTCTTGCGTCGATAATTCTAAGTCTATATCTTCCTGTTTCATATATAATGTTACGACTGTCGGGGGTTCGAGGACCTGCCGAGAGTGTGCTCTTCCTCGCCTCAATTTCACTGGGGAATAGAAGTTGTATTGTATTCCAAAGCACCGTGTTCACAGTACAAGATCTCCCATTGCTATGCACATAAATGTCAATATAAAGTACAAGACTTCGCTGCGAAATTTAGAGTGAGGCAGAGTACAGGGACTACCTGATCAGTTGCCTGCACTTTGGGCATCGTTTTCCACATTTGGCCGCCGCACACTTCAAACATTTCTGGCAGAAGCTATGGAAAAAGGAAAAAACAAACATTGGAATTCGAAAAGGAAGGAGATTAGCTTTCGTCCTTCGAATTAAAAGAAATGGAAATGTATGGAAAAAGGAAATTCAAAAAGACTCAAACTATGGAAATGAAATTCAAAAGACCACCAATCACAGGCACAAATTCTATAATAAGGTGATTTGTACAGGTTTTACCTGTGCCCACATGGAGTAGTGCTCGGTTCGAAGCAAATCTCCAAACAAATCTTCAAAAATTTCAAAAACCCAAATTCACAAACTGATGAAACAAATCAATGGAGCGCAAAAATGTACATAAAATCAAACAAATCTATCTCCTTACAGCGCATGAAAGCTCTTCTCTCAGCCGATCCATACATGGAAGCCCTTTATTATTATTATTATCAGACGAAGATGCGTTCTCACCAAAATTCTCTTCCCCCTTCATCTTCTTCTCTCTATCACCGTCATCAACGACAACCTTCCCCGCTCCATTTTTCTTCACACCAACGTCTGCAGTCAAAAACCCGATACGATTAACGAAACCCAACTAAATAGAGATCAACAAAATCAGATTATTAAAATAAAGAAAATTAGAAGAAGGTAAAAAAAAAAAAAACCTTTTTTGGCATCCTCTTCTTCATCATCAAGGCAAAGAACTACAGCAGGCATCAAATCATCCGCCTGCCGCCTCTTCGACCTCCGTTTTCTACAAAACCCAGAACGCCCATTTCAATAAAACCCAACGAAACTGAAAGAAAAGCAGGCAGGATGGAAAAAATAATAATAATAATAAAGATGGCGTTTCCTCTTCTTGTTAACCTGTTGGAGTTTGTGGAAGCTGGTGACTTGAGATTGTGATGGTTTGGTCGTTTCTTGTGCCTCGACTCCCTGATCGGCGTATCCTCGACGACGAGGCTGGCGAGGAGGAGCCAGCCAGCCATGGCCGCCGCTGACCTGAACCCGGGGCTGAGGATGCCGTTGGCTTCTCTTGATGGGTTTTTCGGGCTCTTGGTTTCTTGGGACGCCATTGTTGTTCGTTTTTGTTCTTCTCTCTTCGGAGATGAAGAAGAGAGGAGAGATTCGGGGAACAGAGGGTTAACGGTCTGCAATTTTGAAATTTAAATGGGAGAGCGTGGGGATGTAACGGCTATAAAATTTGCTGATTGGAAATGGGGAATTTTTATTTGTTAAGGATTGATTACTGGGCTGCACTTCCTAATTCTGGGCTTGTGGGCTTCGAGCTGATGGCGTATAGTTGTGAGCTGAGGCACTTGGGCCTTGGCTTCTTTGACGTCGTCAGTAACTGGGAAAAAAGAGTGTAAATGTACCCCCAAAAAAATCACCCTCAAGTTTGGCCCATTCTGAAATAAACCTCTCTAAACATGAGTGGAGATCCCATCAGAAACCTGCTTTTGTGCGAGGTTCTGATAGCAAATCAAAGGGGACAGTGAAAAAGTCTAAACCGTCGTCTAGCAAATTTTGTCAGAGACCCTTCAGCCCACATTTTGTCGGGGTTTCTAACCCGACCGTTTGACAGAGCCTGCGACGCCCCACACAAAAATGGTCGGGGATAGGAACTCCGACCATTTGGCAGAGACCCTTCAGCCCACACTTTGCTAGAAAATTTCGTCTCCTGCTAACGCATATCAATCCACAAGTTTAACACCAACTCTCTTGCTACACATTTATCGATTCATAATTAATTTTAAACACAAATAAACACATATCTTTATATAATTATTACATCTATAACAAATCTTTAACAAGAACGTAACATTTAATTTACTTACTAAAAATCCAACCATAATCAAGTCACAGTAACATTTCAAACATAAACATCATAGCATTTCAAACATAAACATCGTATGAAGTATATCGAAATTTAACAAATATTTAGAACTCACTTTCCTCTCGCTCTCTTTCTCCCTCTCGCTCTGCCTCTTCTTCCTATCCCCCTTCACCGTTCACCTTCAACATGAGTTTGGATGATCTCAACATTCGGTTGTCTGTGAACTTGTGAGCGCATGACATCCTTATCAACTTGAACCTGTTGTGAACATTCGGCTTGAGCTTGCTGTGAGCCTCCAACTTCATCATGTACACGACTTGAGCCCGCTCTCATGTGTCCTCGAACCCGTCAACGCTCGTACTCTATGAGTCGTTCCTTACGTCCATCACGATTCGCATGACACGTCCTTCTAAGAGCAGACTTAATCTTTTCTATGATGCGAACAAATGTGTTCCTCGTCCCTGGCTCGGTAGTCAATCTCAATGCATCATGTGCAATAGAAGCAACATCATCGAGTTCTTCTACCTATAAGATAAAAATCGAAAGAGGATTATTAGCAAGTAGATGATAATAAAATAACAATCACAAAATAATTGTATATATTGTATATACACTTACCAACTCTCTCAACCGGACCTCTCGGTATGTACTCCTTAGGTGCTTTGTTCTCCCGAAATATTCATCGACGAGTAATCCCCCCAATACCACGGTAAGTACACATCTAGTTCTTGTGTGTCAAACCTCTCCATCACTACAGCATCCTCCTTCAACTCCTAATTCTCAATGTAAGCATGACGAATTATCTCCTAATTTTGATGATGTGCTCCTTTCCGGGGATCTCGCTCTTTTTTTTCTATAGGATCTGGAATATGTTGTTATAATCCAAATTATCGAAGCACACGGTCGGGCACGTGTATTTTGACAATCTCAAAACATATAATCAATACTCGAGCACGCCATATATCTTCACCATCTCTGCAAAAATCTAGTAGTGAAGCTAAAACCAGTTTATAGAGCATCCACTTGACCTATAAAGAAGATTATGTAAATTTACATATCAGTAACAAATGATGTGTTGATTGAATATATTTAGATATTATGATTTTATATCTGTTCATCCACCATTTGATCAAGTTCGTTCTTGTAAAAAGTTTTTGTCGCCCTTTGGGGAGGTTTGCCAATATCTAGAAACATTCTCTCTATTTGATATACAAAGGTTTAGTATAGATTAAAATAAATGTATAAAATTACATGTAATCATATCTATTATAAACTAATATTTGCATCCTAACGGAATCTGGCCATCAAGAGCGCGGATCTTCTTCAAATCTGGTGTTCCTAAATGCTATCGCTCCCATGACCATATTTGCAACAAAGTGATGCAACATTTAAATTCTTTATTTTGCACGAGTGCCACTTTACTTAGTGCCCACTGGTCGATATATTCACTTCCCAAACTACTCTTAATCTAGTTATGTGTAGCTTGAGATGTTGCATTGATTTGATCCCGTATCCGATCATACACACGTGTTTTCGGGTGTATAATCCGCTTGTCAAAGAAGGTTTTGTAAATATATTTGATAAAAACTCTTTTTAAAATTAACTCTAATGTGTCTTAAGCAATAGCGGTGATGGTGGTGAGAGCCAAATCTCATGTACAATGCTTTATGAATACCTTTCATCATATCAGATATAAAAGTAATTTTTCTATGAGGCAACACATTAAAAATATATAATTGAATGCAGGAAAAAAACCACTCCCAATTTTCACTGTTCTCGACTTTCACAACTGCGAAGGCCAAAGGAAATAAACTATTATGTGCATCTACTCCTGTAGCAACAAGCAATACACCCTTATATTTACTATATAAGTGTGTGCCATCAATGTTAAGAACCGGTCGACAAAATTTAAATCCCTCGATCGAAGGACCAAATGCCCGAAATACAGAGGTGAATTGATGAACTCCCGGATTGATCTCTTTGGTTATGAGTTTGTATTCAGATTCAGGATTACTTCTTTTGATCGCATCAAGATATTGAGGAAGTATCGTGTAAGACTTCTTCCAATCACCAAATATTTTTATCATCGCAAATTCTCCTTGAATTCTATGCTTTACTATATGATATTTCAATGAACTTTGTATCAGCAAGCTGTCAATTATATTACCGGGAGTTAGTTCAAGCTTCTTCTTTAATTTTAGCATAATTAATCGTGCTATGTAAGAGGCAGATGCACCACTGTGATCTTGCTCTAATATTGAATTACTACATGTGTGAACACGTCAGTATTATGTGATCCTAAAATGCTCGTTATGTTTCTTTCTGGCAAATACATATAACTTCCAAGGACATGTGTAATCAGCTTCATTTCCCTTGGCCTGGCCTTTTCTTTGTGTATTCATTAACAAATTACATCATAACTTGTGTGATTGCTTTTAACTTGCTTGAATTTGGCATTCTTTTTTATTGAGTAATCACGAATATCATCAACCAATTGGTCCTTAGTCTTGAATAAATCTCCTACTTTGAAAGAGAATTCACCATCTCTTCTTCAAGTTAAACTTTGACCAATGCACATATCTTGTATGGTGGAAGAACGAATCCACTCATTATCTTCAAACTCGTCGAGGGGTGTGGTTCTTCATACTTAACATATTCATTATTAACATAAGCCTCATTAGGCCAATTCGGATTCTCTTCAACATCTTCAGTCACAAATTGCACGCTATCAATTTGTACACTATCTTGCTCTTCACCTTCAGAGTCGTTGCTTCTTTCATTCTCTTTAATTGTTGCCCCTCTTAACGGCCTCTTATTTTTATAAGGGACTTCATTGTTCTGAAATTTGACGTGTTTCCCTGAATGAAGGTGCACTTAGATATTAAAATTGAGTCCACTCCATTTCACTCGAAGAAGAAAGGAAACCATCAGACTCAACCTTCAAATCTAACATACGTGAGAATTCTCCTGGAGGTTTGAATATTTGACACGAACTATGTGACAAATTTTCAATAAACAATTCTACCGTTGGTTGTGACTTGCTCAAATTAAATATAATACTCATGTGATGATCGTTTGAGATCTCAACTGCGGACGTTCTATCAAACGTTATGGGCCAATTACATATTATTTTTAGTCGGACTCTCGTGGATTAATTTTCGTAACTCGGTGTAATTCCTTAATCAAGTCACAGTAACTATATGATTCCGAGATCATTAACGTCGTCGTTACCTCTCCGATGTACATTGGCATATTATTCATTTCATAATTAAAACTTTCACCATACGAGCAAGCAATAAAAATCATATTGTTCAACCTATACAAAAGAAGATTATATCATTTAAATACAAAAAACTTAAAAAAAGTTTATCAGGGCATTGAATAAGAGAGGAAAACCCAAGATGCAAATAATCTCATCTAATTTTGATCAAAAACCCTAAACCTTAAAATAAAAACCCTAAACCCTAGAAATGAGCATTCTATGCCCTAGAAGTTTAATTTCAATTACAACAATCAACACACAAAACATATTAACCACCACAAAGATAGTGATTGATAATAAATTTTAAACCCTATAAATTAGATTTTGATAGAAAACCCTAGATTTTTACATGTTAAAAGTGAGAGAATGAAGAGAAATTACCCTAAAGATCTTAAGCAAACTTTCACGATGAATTTCGGCCACAAAATGGGGTTGGGAGAAGTGAGTAGGCGACTTGAGATGTTGAGACCGGAGTTGAAGAGGGAGAAAATTCGGAATTTTTAGGGAGGAAGGGGTTCGATCCGTATTTATAAGGGGACTGGACCCACCATAAATAGTCGGTATTGGCAACCCCAACTATTTCATAACTTAGCCCCTTCTTGGTTTTCGGATTGGGAAGTCTCTGCTAAATAGCCGGGGTTAGCAACCCTAACTACTTTATGAGCTGTTGTGACTCTCTGCTAAATGGTCGGGGTTGGGAGCCCTGACATTTTTGACTTGGCATTTCGAAATGGTCGGGGTTTCCAATCCCGACCATTTTGTGCAATAACAAAATTAGTCGGAGTTGCGAACCCGAAGTGTTTAGTGGCCTAACCACGAATGGGGGGTTGGGGACGTCCTAATTAGTCGGGGTTGACAACCCTGACTATTTAGGACCACGATTTTTTTTAAATAACCCACTTTCTGGCCATGTCACAACCCACTTTTTGGCCACGAAGCTGACATGGCCAGAAAGTGGGTCGATTCTTGTAGCAAACTGAGGATAGGGTCAAAATTGGGATTAAATTTGTGAATGAGTTTATTTCAAAATTTTCTTCTATTGGGAGAAGAAGGTCGATATGTTATTTCTGTAATTAAAGGTTGGGGCTGTAAACAGGTCGGGGTGTATTGGACCTTTGTAATATT